AAAAAGATGAGTAAGGAGAGAAACCCAAACCACCATGACCGATCATCAACTTGATACCCCAAGACCTTCTATAAGCCATACTTCTAAAATAAATCTTACCATTCCCAAGTCACCGTAAAGAAACCCTAAGTCATAAGTTAGAAAACCTTATCGAATATTCTCGAATCCCGGAAGATGCCCAGATAGAAAGTTCTTTTACCACCTCTATTAAGTCCATATAATGTCTTTAGAAGAAACAAAGGGAGATTTTCCTGGAGTGTAAAAAATCTGATATCCACCCCCAGATCAGGAGTAAAAGAGATCATCCAAACCACAAAGATGGATAATTGTGCCCTCGAGTGCTACTCTTGGCGGAACAATATGTAGATCTAGAGATAGAACCTTCTCTCATCAAACTACGGCAAAGAGAAGGATATGTGGCTCTTCATTTTGGAGCAAGTCGAGTCAGTTCTTACCCTTCATGGAAGAAAAGGCTTGCCGTGTAACCGCTAGAGTTCTCTAATAGATTCAACGTTCCAAAAATATGAGCATGTTGTTATTGGAACGAGTCTTGACTACGCTAAATTCAGGAAGTGTAGTTTTGACTATGTTTCCTAATTTCTGTGTACAACTAAAAGACCCGAACTCTTCCAAAGAGATTACGAGTACAAGTCCAGATTGTCGGAGCACCACAAGATGAAAGTGCTTTGTCGACTACTCTCCATCACCAAGCTGATCTTTAGAATCCAAGATCATTGTTATGATCTTCCAACGGAATACGCCATTTGCAAAAAATGCTCTAATGGTGATCTCAAACACAGAAGAACACACTCCTTCCATAATCCAAATTCCCAAATAGATTCCTAGAGAAGAGCTTGAACAACTAATCCGAGAGAATGGATTAGTAATTATGAAAATTTCAAAAAGAATCAATCACCAATCATCAAGACAGATCATGCATTCAAAAGACTCCCGAGACGGAATGGTAAAGACCATCTTCAAAAAGAATAATGATGAAGAATCATCATCTTCTTCAACCTGTCTTTACATCTATGATGATTACCTTGGGAGAAAAGGAAAGGAAGATTCTTGTACATTCCTTCCAACCGGATGGAAAACCCATTTATTCTGACAAAATAAATGGACATTTCATATGGGATGAAAATCCAGAAATGTGTGACCCAGGATGCCCTTGCGCGAAGCATCGGATGACTCTATGAGATGATTCGAAGAAGAAGAAGAAGATAATGATGATGATGAGGATATCCACAAACCTCCTCCCAATCCCGACAATCCAAGAATGGTGACTTCTCGCCAACCATTACCAATCTATGAAAAGATTTTAAAAGCCTTGAAGGAAAATTATGATCACTATTGTCAGGAGAAGAGTGACAAAAGCAACTCGAGCTGATACAAACTCAATGTTGTATGATGTTGTCTTTTGAAGAAGAATTTCCTAGTCTGCGTCGAGCAAATTCACAAGAGGAAATTATGATGAAACCTTTCATCTACGACAAAGAAGTGACAGCTGAAGGAACCAAGAAACCTATCTCTCGAGCGGAAGAAGTGCTAAAGCTGGCAAACAAAAAATGCTTTAGCCCGGAATAGCCTACTACAAAAGATTGAAAGAAAAATGGATAAAATTGAATTGTCCATAGAAAAAGAGATCGGAGGCATGAATTCCAGGCTACAAAAGCACTATGCGGAATTGAAGGAGAAGATGGAAAGACTTGAAGAGGAGACAAGAAAAATTAAAGAAACAAGGAGATTCAACAACCTCGCTCATTGAAAAAGAAAGAGAGTTACAAAAAACCGAGAGCAGAGTATGAAGAACTTGTCCATTATGTAGGAGAGAAAAAGAAGATTCCCATCTTCGAAGATGAACCTTACTATGTAAGGCCATCAAAAGTATTTCCAACAATTTCAAGACAATCTCTTAAACCAACTCCACTTTTTCCCCAAAAGACTTTCCACAAAGACACGAGAGATTAGTTTAAAGAAAAAAGAAAGAGAAAGAATCGAAGAAGAAATTTCTCCTCGAGCCTACACCTGAACCTTCTCCTAAGAAAGCGAAGTCTCTTCCGATGAAAAGATTTTCCAAGATGCCCAAGACCCTTATTCTCAATACACAATCCACCATATCGGTTCGGATGATTCAATTCCTTCTTCCGATGAAGAATCAGTAGAATCTTTTGAAGAAAACACCGAAACAGAAGAAGCGTAAGTAAACAATACTTTTATGGCAAATGATACAGATCAACCTTTTGTTGATAGAACGAGACTACATAGTCAGGAAGTTAACACTCCACATCCAAACAATAACATGATGTTCACAATTGACAATATTCCCCCATCCCAATGGAGAAAAAATTTTCTAGATTTCAAAGCATGGTTAGACACAAAGATGGTGAACCCAGGAGCGTAAAGATACAAAGTCATAGCAGAATTCTCGCGGTGCATGACCGAAATTCTCGAAAGAATGGTATATCACCCTGGGAACAATCCAACCAAGAGAGTCTTCATAATTCTACTATTGAAGAAGTTATTGGGGCATTACAATTCCACTTCTTGGGAATGCAACATTGTTGGACCAAGAATCCAGGAGAGAATTCTTTGAAATGAAGTGTTGTTCTTTGGAGAAGAAAGACCTTGACGGACATTATTTAAGGATGTCCCAAAGGTTTTATCAGCTCAATGGAGTCAATGATCCTAGCCTAAAAAACACTTTTGTGAGTTCTCTACCGGAAGAATTACAAGATGAAATGTGGAGGATACTTCAACAAACAAATAAAGAAATCTTGCAGATGACTATGGGAGAAATCTATCAAACTTGCATTACTTGCTAAAGAAAAATTATGCAATCAAGCAAAAGATGTTCGACAAGATGGCATCGGATCAAAAGAAATACAAGAAAACTTGCAAGAAAAAATATTTGCAGATCCAAGTGCAAAGAGGATGGTTGTTACTTGCAAAAACAAAAAATCAAAAAGGTTTCCTCCCAAAACCAAATTCAAGTCTGAAGAAAGGAAAGAAATATAGATTCTTCAAGAAAAAACCATTCGGAGGAAAAGGAAACAATCCGAGGTGCCATATTCAGTAAACGGAAAGGACATTTTGCAAAAAATTGTCCAAACAAAAGAGAAAAATCGCGAAGCTAACGAAACTCTTCTTAACCAAAGAAGAAGATGACCTAGAATCACTGTATGAAGAACAACTAGAACCAAATGACCGGAAAAGTTTTCGCCATTGCGAATTCGAAGAAAGCTCGAGAAGAATCCGAGTAATGAAGAATATTTTCCTGTGTTAAAAATCCAAGAAGTCAATACCACGGAACCAGAAATTCCTTCACTCCCCAATGCGAAATATCCATTCTTCCCTCCAAGTATGATGTTCCAATCAAAGCCATAGGATTTATTGATACTGGCTCAACAAGGACAATGATGAATCCCATAATCCTTCCAGCCTAAGCTATGGACAAATCATATCCATAAGTTCGGAAGCTGACAAATGGAGAAATATTTCAGAACAACTTTGATAACCAAACAGAAGGTAGGAATTCAGTTTTTCCCTGGTTGTACAGTCTGGATAAAAGTAATTGGAAATGATAAACACGGAAAAGATGTGCTAATAGGAAGAGATGTTCTAATCCAAATTCGGAGGTTGCAGATATTATCCGATGGTCTCAAGTTTAAAAGGTTAACTAAGCCTTTTGTGCCAATTTCAAATTTATTCACATTGGCAGATGTTCCTCCTGGATATGAAGAAATCAGAAACAAATTACTTAAATTATGTGCGAGAAAGTCATGATCTCTTCATTCATCCAAATCCTTTATGGAAGCGAGAAGAATTCTTTGTCACACTTCCTTTCAAGAAAAGTGAAGACATCAATCCAACAAAAGCAAGTCATCTAGGAATGAGTCCATCAGATTATAAGGCAGCCCAAGAAGAATGTCAACAACTACTAAAACAAGGCCTCATTGAGCCTACGAAATCAGATTGGGCCTGTCCAGCCTTTTATGTCAATAAAAGGTCAAAACAAATCCGACAAAAGAAGAGACTTGTTATTGATTACAGATCATTAAACCTATTCATCAAAGATGACAAGTTTCCATTACCCAAGATCTATTCTCTTCATTCCTACATCAAAGATGCTTATTTTTTCTCAAAGTTTGACTTGAAGTCAGGCTTTTGGCAATTGGGCCTTAATCCCAAAGACAGACCCAAAACAGCCTTCAGTATACCAAATGCCCATTACCAATGGACTGTCCTTCCTTTTGGACTAAAAGTAGCCCCATCACTTTTCCAAAAGGCCATGGTTCGAATCTTTGAACCCATCCTTCACAGTGCTCTAGTTTATATTGATGATATTCTACTGTTCTCATCCACAGAAACTGATCATAAGCTTTTGCTTCAAGAATTCCATGATCTTTGTCACAAATATGGAGTGATGCTCTCATAAAAGAAATCTGAAGTTGGAGTCAAAGAGATAGATTTCCTTGGAATGCATTTTTTTCACGGAAGATATGTTCCTCAACCACACATTGTAGAAAATCTACCACAATTCCCAGATGAGAATATGACAACAAAAGAAATCCAACAATTCCTAGGAATTCTGAACTATGTAAGAAACTTCATTCCAAACATAGCACTCTACATCTCCAAGCTTTCAAAGATGCTGAAAAAGAATCCTCCTCCATGGGGAACAGAACAAACAGAAGTAGTAAGAATTCTGAAAAAGATTTCTCAAGACCCTCCACCGTTAAAGATTCCTGGAGAAGGAAAAAGAATATTGCAAACAGATGCTAGTGACCATTTTTGGAGTGCTGTATTAATTGAAGAACTTGCAGATGAAAATTTTTACTGTGGACATGCCAGCGGAGCATTCAAAGAAACAAAATTACACTATCATACGGTGTTCAAAGAAACTTTGGCAGTCAAATATGGAATTCAAAAATTTGACTTCCATCTCAGAGGACATCAATTTGAAGTTCATTTGGACAACTCAGCATTCCCAAAGATGCTTGATTTCAAAAACAGAGTACCACCAAATCCTCAGATACTCCGCTTGAAAGAATGGTTTTCCCGATATGATTTCACAGTCAAACACATAAAAGGAAATACCAACATTATCCCTGATTATCTGAGTCGACCAAAACCTGCACCAATCCATATCATTTCATCAACCCATTCCTATCCACTTATCTTCATGCAAAACCCGTCTTCATCTTCTAATCCTTACCCTCAAAATCCATTTCCACCTGAAATAAGATTTGACTTTATAAAAACCCCTGCAACTTTGCAACAGTTTGCTAGACAAAATATGTTCTCATATCTAGCAAAGTCTCTACAAAACCACCAGATACCTCCAAAACAAAATTGGTTCAATCCAGATACTCCTTTTCTGAATATCTTTGCTATTCTTATGGGAGAAGAATTCACAGAAGATGATCAATGGTACTTATGGTGTGTCTCAATCCTGCATCATTATCCAATTATCTTCCCAACAAAAAAGATGTTAAGGATGCTCGAAAGAAGATCGTTCCAGTTTATTAATTAAGTTTTTAAGTCGATATCAACCAATTTCTCCGTGGATCAACACCGTCAATGAAGAACTAAACAGAACACAAAGACAAATGATAGATTGGAACTCGAATATTTCATCACCGTTGCTATAATTCACAGGCCATATTTTGCACATCCAGAATCATATGAACTGTGGACGCAAAATCAAGTCGAATTTGGTCAACATTTCCAAGATTAAAGATCTTTACTCAACAGGACCAACCTCCTTTCTATCAAAGTGAATTAATCATAGAATTGCACAGGCTTAATGGAACATTCTCGAGAGATGATCAACAAAAATTCCACGTGTTCACATTTAAAGCCGTTAGATATAATTTGCAAACCGAGATGGAGACTCTGGACCTTTCCATGATCAAGAAGAAAGAGTGATGCCACTTGTCAATATCCAAGAAAGCGGACAAATACAACTGGAATAAGCAAACATTGACGGACAAATTATTATGATAAAAGAAGATAATGACAATGAAGACTTCGTGATAAATATGGAAGACTCGACTCGGATGACCCAAATATGTCACCAAGTCATGAACCCATTTTCAAATGATGTGACATAAAGAAGACTCATGTGACGAGACCCATGTGACAAAAGATGTTCGGTGTGAAATAAAGATATCGACAAGATATGCTAGGTGTGATATAAAGGTATCTAATAAGATATAAAGTAGAGATAATGTTGGAAGAAAAATCAATGTAAATTATTTAAGAGTGTTTGTCTGTATATTCCTTCTTTTGGTTATAAAAGAGAAGGTGCTCAGTTATTGTAAGATATCGAAAAACCAGAAATAAAACTTGAGTGTTTTCCATTCCCATGAGTTTCTAAGTTCTTTTGTTTTCTTTCCTGAAAGTCTTTATTTTTATTATGCTAGTGTTCTTCTAACTCGATGGAGATATATTGGCTGGAAAAGCAGAGAACCTCTGTTGGTTTTATACCTAATTACAGAGCGAGGCCTTCATGCCTATCCTCTGCAGACTCCCTTCACCGGGATAAGTCACAACAACGCCACGTATCAATATCAGGTGAGATAAAGAATAAGGGAATAGTAATATTTAGCATAAATAAGTATGCTCTGTACTCGCCTCACATGAGGATCTTGTACATCGGAAAGTTTGTGTGATCCGGATCCATTTTTCGGTCTCGCTATTTTGATATGATTATTAAACTAATTAGTTGTGCTTGAGAAAGTAAGTTTGGAATACTGAAGTCTCGCATGTGAAAGGTTTAATGATTATATTAAAGTATGCGGAGCTCCAAGGCATGATGGTATCGGAGCCTAAGCTGTTGCCTACTATTCCTTTATTTTTCTTTCGAATTCGGTCATGCCTGCGTGGAATTCTTCTATGACTTTGTATCTTTCTGCTCCTGGGTTCACCATCTTTGTGTCTAACCATGCTTTGAAATCTAGAAATTTTTTCCTCCATTGGGATGGGGGAATATTGTCAATTGTGAACGAGCATGTTATTGTTTGGATGTGGAGTGTTAACTTCCGACTATGTAGTCTCGTTCTATCAACAAAAGGTTGATCCGTATCATTTGCCATAAAAGTATTGTTTACTACGCTTCTTACGTTTCAGGTGTTTTCTTCAAAAGATTCCACTGATTCTTCATCAGAAGAAGGAATTGAATCATCCGAACCGATATGGTGGATTGTGTATTGAGAATAAGGGTCTTCGGCATCTTGGAAAATCTTTTCATCGAAGAGACTTCTGTTTTCTTAGGAGAAGGTTCAGGTGTAGGCTCGGGAGAAATTTCTTCTTCGATTCTTTCTCTTTTCTTTTTCTTTAAACCAATCTCTCGTGTCTTTGTGGAGAGTCTTTTGGGGGAAAAAGTGGAGTTGGTTTAAGAGATTGTCTTGAAATTGTTGGAAATACTTTTGATGGCCTTACATAGTAAGGTTCATCTTCGAAGATGGGAATCTTCTTTTTCTCTTCTACATAATGGACAAGTTCTTCATACTTGCTCTCGGTTTTTGTAACTCTCTTTCTTTTTCAATGAGCAGAGTTGTTGAATCTCCTTGTTTCTTTAATTTTTCTTGTCTCCTCTTCAAGTCTTTCCATCTTCTCCTTCAATTCCGCATAGTGCTTTTGTAGCCTGGAATTCATGCCTCCGATCTCTTTCTCTATGGACAATTCAATTTTATCCATTTTTCTTTCAATCTTTTGTAGTAGGCTATTCCGGGCTAAAGCATTTTTTGTTTGCCGGTTTAGCACTTCTTCCGCCCGAGAGATAGGTTTCTTGGTTCCTTCTGTTGTCACTTCTTTGTCGTAGATGAAAGGTTTCATCATAATTTCCTCCCGTGGATTTGCTCAACGCAGACTAGGAAATTCTTCTTCAAAAGACAACATCATACAACATTGAGTTTGTATCAGCTTGAGTTGCTTTTGTCACCTTCTCCCGACAATAGTGATCATAATTTTCCTTCAAGGCTTTTAAAATCTTTTCATAGATTGGTAATGGTTGGCGAGAAGTCACCATTCTTGGATTGTCGGGATTGGGAGGAGGTTTGTGGATATCCTCATCATCATCATTATCTTCTTCTTCTTCTTCGAATCATCTCGAATCACTAGAGTCATCCGATGCTTCACGCAAGGGCATCCTGGGTCACACATTTACGGATTTTCATCCCATATGAAATGTCCATTTATTTTGTCAGAATAAATGGGTTTTCCATCCGGTTGGAAGGAATGTACAAGAATCTTCCTTTCCTTTTCTCCCAAGGTAATCATCATAGATGTAAAGACAAGTTGAAGAAGATGATGATTCTTCATCATTATTCTTTTTGAAGATGGTCTTTACCATTCCCTCTGGGAGTCTTTTGAATGCATGATCTGTCTTGATGATTGGTGATTGATTCTTTTTGAAATTTTCATAATTACTAATCCATTCTCTCGGGATTAGTTGTTCAAGCTCTTCTCTAGGAATCATGTCGGGAATTTGGATTATGGAAGGAGTGTGTTCTTCTGTTTTTGAAATCACCATTAGAGCATTTTTTGCAAATGGCGATTCTCGTTGGAAGATCATAACAATGGTCTTGGATTCTGAAGATTAGTCGGTGATGGAGAGTAGTCGACAAAGCACTTTCATCTTGTGGTGCTCCGACAATCTGGACTTGTACTCGGAATCTCTTTGGAAGAGTTGGGTCTTTTAGTTGTACACGAGAAATTAGGAAACATAGTCAAAACTACACTTAGGAATTTAGCGTAGTCAAGACTCGTTCCAATAACAACATGCTCATATTTTTGGAACGTTGAATCTATTAGAGAGACTCTAGCGGTTACTCGGCAAGCCTTTTCTTCCATGAAGGGTAAGAACCAGACTGACTGCTCCAAAATGAAGAGCCACATATCCTTCTCTTTGCCAGAGTTTGATGAGAGAAGGTTCTATCTCTAGATCTACATATTGTTCCGCCGAAGTAGCACTGAGGGCACAATTATCCATCTTTGTGGTTTGGATGATCTCTTTTACTCCTGGTCCGGGGGTGGATATCGAGTTTTTACACTCCAGGAAAATCTCCCTTTGTTTCTTCTAAAGACATTATATGGACTTAATAGTGGTGGTAAAGAACTTTCTATCTCGGGCATCTTCGGGATTCGAGAATATTCGATAAGGTTTTCTAACTTATGACTTAGGGTTTCTTTACGGGACTTGGGAATGGTAAGATTTATTTTAGAAGTATGGCTTATAGAAGGTCTTGGGGTATCAAGTTGATGATCGGTCATGGTGGTTTGGGTTTCTCTCCTTACTCATCTTTTTTTAATATAAATATAATATTTAATAATATATTTTGAAAATATTATTTTACTACGTTTAACCATAAATCTAAATATATTATTAATTTTTAAAATAAATAAATATTTTTTAAAATTTTAAATAAAATATTATAATATTATATATATATATATATATATATATATACTAGTTTTTTTTCTTATAAAAAAAAGAAAAAAAATATATATATATATATATATATATATATATATATATAGGATTCGATTGCGTAACAAATCGAATTATAACTCAATTACTTTTTTAATTACTCCGTTATGATCGATTATATTTTCAAATAATTGGTTATAATCGATATTTTAGATAGCAGTTCTAGAAGTAACCACTATCAAAAATATATTTTAGATAGCGGTTAAAGTGGAACCGATATCATATATGTGTCACTTTTAAGAGCGGTTAACATTTTAACCGCTCTTAAAAGTGAACATATAATCGATTACTTTTTGAAATAATTGATTAGAATTTTAAATATATTTTAGATAGCGGTTAAATTGGAACCGCTATTATATGTTGACTTTTAAGAGCGGTTAAAATATTAACCGCTCTTAAAAGTGACACATATATGATAGCGGTTCCAGCTTTAACCGCTCTTAAAAGTGAACATATAATAGCGGTTGCACGTTAACCGCTATCTAAAATATATTTAATATATAAAATATCTTGTAACCTAAACGAGATCGAGTCGGTTATTCACTTTATTCCCCGATTTTCTCCCAACAGCCTCCAAATTCAGGTGCCACACCACCTTATGACGGTCACAACCACTCACCATCGGTCGTAGCCCTTCCGCGATGCCTATCACCTTCACCAACCTCACTTACTCTCGCCCCACCTTCACCGAAAATCACTCTAACACCCCCATCTCCGTCGGGCGATACGTAGCTTGGGTCGCCTCCACCATTAACCGTGAATCGCCTCCCTACCCATCCACTCACGACGGATCGAAGCGACGACCCGTCCCTTGTCGAAGGTGAGGGCATGAACTTGATCCCCGAGGAGGTTGAAGTCGAGGTCGGGATCCGTATTCGGGTTTGTTTTTGCTTTATGTTTGTACATTATTCTGATTTATCATAATCCCGAGGAAAATAGGAAGTGTAAGGATGTGATTTCAAGTGTGTGATCTCGTTATATACTTGGTCACGGACCATATTTACTGGGCCTCAATTTGGGTTTTCTGTAATCTTGATTCATTGATTATTAGAGATAGCTTACATAGTTAAATAGTTAGAATAACATATTACAAGCATGTAAAGAATAACATCTCTCATCTATTCAAAATAATCAACTCAACTCGGAAATGTAGAGGAACATAGTTTTATAGTTAACTATGTAAGCTATGTCTAATATTGATGGTTGGGAAAAGCTAACTCATAAGTTTGGTAACCTGTATTGATTGTCTGGTATTCCACATAAATTGATACATTATTGGGACATGCCTGGATGCATTAGTAATTGAATCTGACCAAAAAATTTAATGAAATATAATTGTTCAAAATGTTGAGAAGCAGTGGACAGCTTGATGAAGTGTGATTTATTAGTCATGATTATTTTCTTATGATTACTTTTTTATTGTGTTTCGATGTATCGAGTCTCCGAGATGACTTAATTTTTCTTCATGCATGTGTTCATGTGTTTTAATTGAGATATAAATTTTATCATAGTTTGGCTCCATCTTAATTTTGCATGACATTGATGAATCATATTTCTTGATGGCAGCTTGAAGAGGTCAAGAAAGTTTCAACCTGAAGATAGACTCTTTTCATTATCTTTAGTGACCTCACCAGCGGTATGTTTTTGATATTCAGTGATATATGCTTTGAACAACAATAGAAAAAATAAGATGCACTAGTTAATGCTATATACGTTTTCTATGTAAGATAAGAAAAATATATCTTCGTACAGTTCATCTCTTGTTCAGTTTGACATGCTTGTTTAGAAAAAATGGGCATAACATAAATACTTTTGTTTGATAATGAAAGCATTAGAATGTCAACTTCGGGAAGAGAAGAGGTGATTAGGACATGTTGGAAGAATGAGTTTTTTGCATTTTTGGTTACATCCATGATTCTCGTGCTATTTTGATTTAATCCCCAACCAAGAGTAATGGCGAGTAGAGCTCAGCTTAGGAAGTAAGGCAATTTGATCTCGATGATACAATCAATTTGGAGCAGTAAAACATTTCGTGAGGTTTACTTTTGTAGAAATATGAAACAATTATTGAATTAGAAATTCATGCTAGACTCTCGGATATGACTATCCATACTGATTTTGAAAGGGGATTTATTTGTGGTGAGGTGAGTTGAGTTCATGAATATTGACATTTCTGGATTTAACCTGGTTGATTCTTCCTTTTATATATTTGCAAATATGTTTTAGTACACTGATTCCTTTTTTGTTCAAGCCTAATTGCTTGAAAGTCCAATGTTAAATTGGATTTGACAACATAAAAGTAGCTTAATATTATTATGTTGAATTCAATATTTAATCAATGTTCGATTTACTTGGAGCATAGTTTAATCAAAATCCAATGGTCAATTTCTTTTGCACAATTCATTCAATTGATCTTATTCTTTTCTATATTACAGAACATGGATGGTATTTCTTTCCATCGCAGTTGGATGTATGATAGATGTTATAGTGGTAGAAGAGGTTTGAAAGAGTCTTTTGTTATAGGGGTTGAAGAGTTTGTCAGATTTGCTCGACAATATGAGTATTACGAACGTGATGGGGGAATTCGATGTCCATGCACCAAATGCGATTGTACAAGAATTTTGAAGGATGAAATGGTCAAAGTTCACCTTTACAAGCAAGGGTTCAAACCAAATTATTGGATTTGGACAGATCATGGAGAACGTGTGCCTGAAGTTGAAAATAATGTTGATGATACTTGTGTTAGCGGTGCATGTATTGATGTACACATGACTGAACAAGACCAATTTATGTCAATGCAAGAGATGATGTACAATTCTCTCTGGCAACATCAATCATTTGAAGGACCCAATTGTCTTAACATAGAAGAGTCACCAAATGAATCAATTCAAAGGTTTTATAATTTGTTGGCAAAGACAAATAAACCATTATTTGAGGGGGCAACAGATTCAAAATTGTCAATATGTGTTAGACTTTTAGCGTGCAAGTCAAATTGGAATATTCCTGATCAATGCTTAGACTTTATGACACGCATGTTGTTGGATGTCACACCTATAAAAGACAATTTACCAAAAACTTATTACGATGCCAAGAGGTTAGTATCAAAGTTGGGATTAGAAGTGAAGAAGATTGATTGTTGTGTGAGTGGGTGTATGCTTTTTTATGACAATGACAATGGCAAAAAAGATGCTACATTACTTCAATGTAAATTTTGTCAAAAGCCAAGATATCATGAGAAAAGTTTTGGAACAACCCATAAAAAGCCAGTTCAAGTAAAGTTCATGTTTTACTTGCCTATAATTCCTAGATTACAAAGAATATTTGCATCAATGCAAACCGCTGGGCAAAT